TCTGACCACAGCTCTAACACGCATGGCATCTTTGTCCTCGTTCCCTTCTCTTCCATGCTGCCGTCAACCCCATTTCTGCTTGACCGTACAAAACAAGAAAGGTAGCAAGAATATTTAAATTCCAAATTCACTAGTTTCCCAGAGGATCAGAAACAAAAGCATTACTGTATAAAAATACTACCCTTAGAAGCCCTTTTTCAGGAGCAAGCCTCAGCACACAGAATTTTCCAGATAAAACAGAAGTTCCAAAATGGAACAGAAACATTTTTAAGTGAGTAGAACACAAATATATGAAGTCACAAATGAAAATGACTTCTAGGAAAGTGAGAATGACCGGCACAGAACACAACACAAAAGCAAAAGATCTAGAAATTCAAGGCATCAAATGTAAGGAAAGGTCAGCCAGGTATGGTGGTCATGACTGTAGTAATTCCAATCTATGGGAGGCTGAGGCAGGAGGATCCCAAGTTCGACTTGGACATGGCAATATAGCGAGACCTTATCTCAAAATTCAAAAAAAAGGGTCTGCAGGGCCAGGGATTTAGCTCAGTGGTTCCACCGCCTGCCTTGCAAGCACCAGGTCCCAAGTTCGAGCCCAGGTACCCAAACAATAAATAAATTAAATAAGTAAATAAACAAAAGGTCTGCAGATATAGGGTCAGTGTAAAGTTTCTGGGTTCAAACCACAGTATTGCAAACAAACAAGCAGTCAATCAGGGAGAATCTGACTTAACTTACAATTCTGAAAGGCTACATTTATTTTTAAAGGTCATCAATGGATGGTACGATTTTGAATCTCATGTGCCACTTCCAGTATAACAGGTGGTTCTGCACAGCAACAGGCTAGAATTTTCCCCCTCAGATTCCACCAGATACCTCTGTGCATTTTGCCCCAGAAGTGGGGAAGGGCTTGACAAACTATGGAAGTAACAAGATCCCGTGATAAATGCTTCCCCTCTTTATTCTGGGTCCTTCTGGAGAGATTGAGACACGCTTCAAAGGCTGCACAGAAAGTTCTGTAGAACCAAACCACTGGCTCTTGTAACAGTGAACAAAACTCGATAATGCTTCTGTTGCTTGGCCCACATTCTGTATTTCACTCATCTTGTCCCTTGCCCACCTGTTTCCTGGGACATTTGCAAATAAACCCCAGTCACAGCAGTCTTTGCTTTTTGAAGAAAAAAAGGCTCTGCCTTTGCCGTTAGAAGCGCATACTAATACAGAGACTATACAAAGGAAATAAAATACAAAAGAGTAAATGCCTTTATACTCAGCCACAGATGTCAAAGGATTCTTAATCACAAGAAACATTTTAGTGTCCATACATTTTGTCTTCAATTCAAAGATCTCACTGAACGTCATCTATATACCAGTCACTAAGTACATATCCTGGGTTCAGAAAAGAGATACTGTAAATACAAAAGTCCCTCTTCTCAAAGACATTATAGCCTAGTCAGGGAAGAATATTTAAAAAGAAAGTGAAAACGAGGTGTGAGAAAGCTCATGAACCACCCCACCCCAACTCCTTCACCCCCATCCCAAGCAGGCAGAATGGAGAGACAGCAAGCTCACCAGCCCCTGAGGGCCAGAGGTCTGCTGCAGTCTTGGAGACCCAGGTTCCCAACCTTCCTACAGCCATAATATTGGTTTGGTTTGGTTTTGGGGGAGGGAAGTACCGGGGATCAAACTTGGGACTTTGCGCTTTCGGGGCAGGTGGCTGCACCTAAGAATGTTTAGCCCGTCCTTCATGCTGCCAGCAACCTAGTCTCCTCCCGATCAATCCCATTTTTGCTTATTTTGCTGATCAGAGCACATGTATTTTGGTTGAAATGCAAAGGATTTTAAGATGGGATCATCAAAATTAGCAATAGAACAAATCTACGAAAACTAAGCCAGTCTAAGAAATAAATCACTGAATGTACAATATTTGTCTGATATAACAGCAGGAAGAGAACGGAGGCAGTAAGAAAAGCGAATGCAATGTCTGCACTGAATGAATATCCAACTGATTAACCCAGTGGAAGAGGAAAACATATATAACCTCAAATATATACATTAAGATTCTTTAATGTGAAATAGGAAGAAAAGGGCTCAAGGAGAAGTGGGAAGAGTAGGGGAAAGGAAAGAAGAGAAAGAAGAAATACGAGAAAAGGAAAAATGGAAACAAAGTCTTTGTAAATAGGGAAGGGAGGAGAGGGTAAGGGGAGGGCAGAAGAATGGGGAAAAAATAGAACCAAGATACATCATGTGAAGGTACACTATCTCAATGATGAATGTAGTTTACTTTATAACAAATTAATGTGTTACACAATCCTCAAAGGATATGTCTCCAAATTAATTTTTCCCATTTGGGGGGATCCACCTCAGGAATACTGGGCTCAAAGTAGGTGGCAAGAAATTTGGGGGTGGGGGTGGGGTTTGAGACAGGGTCTTGCTTTGTAGTTCAGGCTGGCCTTGAACTCACTATGTAAATTAGACTGGCCTCTAATTTATGGCCATGCTCCTGCCTCAGCCTCCGGAGTGCTGGGATTATACTGGGTGCTACCACACCCGGCAGCAAAAAATTTCTTAAAGCCAACATTTAAACAATTCTACTTACTGTTATCTCCTTCTGAAATTATTAACATTAAATAACGGAGACAACACAAATACGAGCTCTCAGAAATCCTTTCACTGTTGTAAGTGAAATTAGTATTCTGGAATTCTAGAATCAAAAACATTTTTTTAAATTGGGAACAAAAGCCAACTTCATAAGACAGATTCCTACTAGCTAAAAATACAGTAATTTAAGCTTCAGTAGGGACAATACCTTCCATAGATGAAACATTCTTAAATCTATAAGCTTATGCTCATAGATTCTTTTAGGAACTGTTAAAGGGAGAGAAAGGGGCAATACATTTATTCCGCTTTCTACATAAACACCAACAATGGAAAACCAAATGGTAAATGAGGGGGAGTTTTTTATAAAAATTCTCCAGCTACTAAAGGAAGAAAAACGATACAAATAGAACACCACCATTTCCTCAACTCCAGAGGGTTAATGAAACTAAGCATTGAGTATCTACAGCTACTAACATCACAAATAGAAAAGCAACACAAATGATGGATCTCTTGATGAAACAACATACTGCTCCCTTAGTCATGGAACAACAACAACAAAAAAAACCACAATAAAACATGATGATGCCCCTAGCACTACCTCCCTCAGAGTCAGCTCTCCATGCGGGCAGCCAGCAGGCCTCACCTCTAGCAGGCCTCACCTCTAGCAGGCCGGGGAGCCCGGCCCCTCCCTCACCTCACTTTTATCCACCCACACGCGGGCACGAGCAATCAAAGTAACGCAGGATCCACCTGCTTCCCGGCTCCCACTGCGCATCTCTGGTAAACAACTTAGCGTCAGCTGTTTTCAGTTTTCCCTCGACACGCGATCCCCCGAGTGCAGCCTTTCTGCTCTGCGCTCACCGGATGGCAGTGAGGCCTCAGGGCTCCTCTGCTCTCTCCAAACACACCCAAAACTATACTAGAGATACAGACTTAGTCAATAATGAAATGTAAGTAAATGACCACTCCAGTAAGTCAGGATAGTCAGGAAACCGGGATTATGCTTACGCGTAGGACGAGTAGGCTTGTGAAGAACTAGGGTGGCTATAAAAGTCTTATTTCTTGATGTGCAAAGTGGCTACAAGGGTAATTTACTTTATATGCAAAAGTACAAATGCTTTAAATTGACCTGAATGTGGTAATTTAAAATGCAGATCTTGCAGCCTCAATCAGACCCACTAATTCAGTACTGTACTTCCAGACAGATTCCAGGTTTCTGAATTTTTGGTAAATTCTACCCTTTGAATTTTTAAAAAGCAGAAACAGTACTTAGTTTTTAATGAATCTGTGACCAAAAATAGCTACCATTTCAAAATGAAAACCCCCAACTCATAGATATTTAGTGATTACATTTATCTAAGTAACACAGACACGTTCAGTTATAAAATTTTAAGTAAATTTCTCTGATAAATGATTTTTTTAAACATCAAGAATATTGCAGAGTTTATGCAGAGTCCTAAGGAAATCTAGTTAGCTACTCAGTTTCTCTTAAGCCTTATTTTAGATGGTAAGTGGGCAGTCTTTTATATGCTCAGACACCGGGATCTTTACTTGGTACCATATCGGCTGGTTTACAAATAAGAAGCCAACCATTTAAAGAATATTGTAAATGAACTGTGAGAAACCAATTTCGTGGTTTAAGCTACCCAGTCTGTGGCAGGATCCCTAAGACCTCTTCTCACTATCACCCTATTCCTACCCTATTAATGTTACCCTATCTAAAGCCCTATTCGATTCTCCCACCAGAGTGACCTTTACATACGAAAAATAAGGGCATCTCTCTGAGTAATCATCTTCTAGCATGCCACAGCCTAAGAAATAAAATGTAAACTCATTTGTGTGGCATGTGACAGACTCAACCTTCTCTCTCACAACTAAATTCTTCAACAACACTCGAAATAATACTCTGAGCAGGGCGTGCCAGCCTTGCTCTTACATTTCTGTTTTACACACTTGGTATTCTCCCAGCCAGCATGCTCTTCCCAACCTCTGGTTTGTAGCGGGTAATCGCCTATCTGGTCTTCCAATCTCAACTCACCCACTGCTTCCCTTTACCAGTGCTCCTGTTGTACTTTAAATATACTCCCATAAGAGCATTTATTTTATGGTACTAGAATTACTTTCTTGAGGTCACAGAACATATCTTTTCAACTGTATTTTATAGGGCTTGGCATACAGTAACCACTAAACACGTTCCACAAACAAAAATGAAAAAAAGTGGTATATCTGTAATTGATGTTCCAAAGAGTGTATAACAATTCATTATAAATATTAGTATGATCTATCATATTAAACCAAATCACCTCTGATAAGCAGTAAACGAAATGAGCACGAGCACTACTTACTGAAAGAGTCAATCAGTCAATAACTGAAACACTGAAACTTCTTGCTATTCTTACCTCACTGAGAAGTTCAACACTGTGCTCTAAAAGCTGAATTAAAGATGAGCATTCCCCAGTTATCTTTAGGCTGACTTCACAGACACAGAACAGCTGAAGTGTCAGCTGAGTAAGCTGAATTTTCCAGAAAACAGGATGATGCAAAAGGCTTAAGTATACTTCTTTGATAAACAGCATTGCTTCTGTTGTCTGTATCAGGTCTTCCATCTGTTTAATAAAAAGTCACTGTATCACATTAAAGTAATATACAAATGACAGGATAATTTAAAGCTATATAAGAAGTTTTTAGATGTGGCATGATTCTTTTAATTCTTTTGGGAAGATACCCGGCAGGGGAATAGCTGGGCCAAACAGAACCTCCAATCCTAGTTCTTTGAGGTATCTCGATACTGATATCCACAGTGGTTGTACCACCTGCACTCCCACCAGCAGTAGAGCAAGGCTCCTTTTTCTGCACAGCCCCATCAGCATTTGTTATTGGTTGATTTCATGACAGCAGCCATTCTTCCTAGAGTGAGGTAAGATCTCAGCATTGTTTTCATTTGCATCTCTCAGATGACCAGTGAAGTTGAACATTTTTTTCATATATTTATTTGGTATTTCTACTTCTTTGTGTGAGAAATGTCTGTTCATTTCAGATGCCCATTTTTGGATTGGGTCTTTAAATTTGAGAGGTCTGATTTTTTTAAAGTTCTTTATTCTAGATAATAGACCTTTGTCTGAAGAACAGCTGGTGAAAATTTTTTCCCATATTGTCATACAACAGCGATATATGTGCACCCATGTTCCCACCAACACAGTCTTTAATAGTTAAAACTTGGAAACAGCCCAACTGTCCATTAACTGGAGACTGGATAAAGACAATAAAATTTATAAAATGGAGTACTACTCAGCCGTAAAGAATGACAAATTAAGACACATTTATAGCTAAATGGATACACATTGAGGTGATACTTTCAAGTGAAATAAATAGGACACAGGTGTAAATACTGAATAGTTTCTGTGGTGTAAGAAATAAAGTGTAAATAAGGACTAAAAGGTATAACAGATAATGTAAAATAGGAAAAAGGGGCAAAAGGGAAGAAGTAAGAGAGTTAGAGGAAGGGAAAGAAGTGAATGGAATTAATATGAGAAGGTGAAAAAATGGAAACAAAGTCTTTGTAAATAGGGAGGGTTGGAGGGGTAGAAGGGAGGGCAGGGGAATGGAGAAAAAAATAACCAAGGTAGATTACATAAAGGTACAAGTTTCCAATGATAAATGTCATATTGTATACCTAAAAAGTACCAATAATTTTTTTTTTTTTTTTTTTTTTTTTTTTTGGTGGTACCGGGGATCAAACTCAGGTCCTTGTGCTTGCAAGGCAGGTGGCAGAACCACTGAGTTAAATTCCCGACCCTAAACATTTTTTTAAAAGCTAACAAAATAATTTTGTCCAATTCTATAAAGAAAAGCTTAAAGGGGGATGGAACAAGTTACATAACACAATAAAATACACAACTCTGCCTTTTGTCACTAATCTAACTCCAATTTCTTATTATTTTTGTTACTTAATCAGGAACTGGTTGTAAAATTCTCCCAGTAAACTCTCCTTCCTACGATTCCAACAGAGATGCATGCAGATAAGGGTCAGCGTTTTATTCTAATGCACAGCTAAGCCCTCATCACCAACATATTTGCTCAAGCAGCCTGAACTGAGAATGTCAAACAACATCATACTTAGAAGATGTAATAAAAGACCACAATCAAATGGTAGAGTGTCTTGTCAACGGACTAAGGTATTATATAGGAAAGATGTGGGTACTATTGTAAACCCTAATTCTATTCAAACCCAGATGTTTTGATCAAAATTCTGGAGCTGGTATTAAAGGTATGGTCCTGCTCACAGACACATTTGCATTTCCTGGAGATTATGAAACAATAAACCATCTGCTTCAATCAAGATCCCGTGTCTGTTAGATTCATCGAGAGGAAAGCCGACAGGTGACCAGCTGTGTCTTTAACCAGTGGTTACCATCAAAATAATATAAAACTGCTCTAAATTATACACAGAGAAAAATTAGTTCCTGGCAAAAAAGGTCAGGGGGAATTAAAAGCTCAACAGCAAGGAAATGGTAGAAAATATTATTATAAATGGCAGAAAATATTGCTATTTTTTTAAATGTGAGCAAGTCCAGCAGCTAAATAATTTTGCTTTTTTGCAAACATAAGAAAAGCCTAAACGTCTTCAAAAGCGAACCTTTGGAAGTTACATTAAAGGTTCTCTACTATTTAACGTTATCAAAATTCTTTAAAGTTTTTTGAAGTAATGTTCTATCTTTATGTATAAACAGATCATGTTAATGGGTAACGTAAAATGATAAGAGTCACAACTAAAATGAAAAAGACAATTCCACAAATATAAACTGGAAAAGTAAGTGGTATTACAAAAAAAAAAATAAATAGGAGTTCCCTTGACCGCCCAGTGATCATAAAGCAATAGGATGGTATGGCTATTTCTTTTTTTAACTTAAATGTGGTTCTTTCTCAGTGCTTAGTATGGATCAGACCATCACTACAGCACTCAGCTCTCTACTCAGTTTCCAAGACTAACATTTCATAGTAGCACATTTTGAGCACCAATAAAGTAGATAACTTCTAGCAAAGGACTCTGAAAAGTCTGGAAACTATCTCCTATAGAGCAGTAAAGAAACTGATGAAGAAACAGAAGGGAGAAAGGTAAAAAGGAATGAATAGAAGACAGAAAAACAAAACAAGGCAGGATTCAGATGGGCTTTTTTAAAGCTTATTTTGTTATGGGAAGACTAGAGACTAATGGATAATTTTGTAAATAAAGGTCAACAGAAGTACTTGCTAAAAACTGGTTGCCTTGCAAAATAAATGTACTTACTACCAAAACATCCAATTAGTTATGGAATGGTCTCCTATCAGAAAGTATGTAAGAAATATTTGTAATAAGCAGGGAACTAGATTAGGCTGCCTCTAAGATCCCTTCCAACTCTGTTTCTTTATTCTAATAAAGCTGATCTATAACGGTGACTAAATGCACTTATACCACTAGTTCCACTAGTTCCAGATGGTTTTTCTCATACATCTCAGTCATATTAATGCAAAAATTCCAAGAAATATTCCAGAATTCATTTCTAATTGTATTTAAGTTCTTCATGCAGAAGAAGGCAAATATCAAACAATAAACACAGAACAAGGTAAAATGGGCACGGTGTAGGAAAATTAGACATTGTGCCTATATATTGCTTTACTTCCTACACAAAACAAAAGCTCTGGAAAAGCCACAGGAGAATTCATTTTAATTAAGTTCTCTTTGCCTTGATTACAGGAAAGCCTATTTATGAGTCACAAAGGAAAGATTCACTCTAGTCACTCCCTGCTAACACAAACTTAAAACAGGTCATCTGTGACTTAAGCAGTCACTTGGAAATATATTCATAGATTCCCTCCATTAGCAGAGCAACATGGTGCTCAAATTCCAGGCAACTGGCTCACCTAACTGTGGGATGGAATAACCTGATAAATGTGTCACTATACTGAAATCACAATGCAATGCAACTTAATTTTTTTAATCTGTGTTTGTAGACATTAGCTCAACTTTCTCTCTCCCCTGAACTCCCTCAGCATTTTATCCATACATCTGTGAACCACCTTTCTTTTTTTTTTTTTTTTGCACCACCGAGCTAAATCCCCAGCCCTGTGAACCAACTTTCATCCATCTACTTTCAGCTGTAAGACTTTATATACTTTTCTAATCTACTCATTACACTGTGGGCTTCTCAAGAGCAGGATCCATCAGGGCTACCACATGCGTCATAAAGAACCAAGTGGAAACTCTAATCTAGCCCTCAGCTTACTAAGCTTGGCATTCTCAGAGATTTATCTGCCTAGAAAACCACCCTTTAAAAAGCTTTTTTTTCCTCACTGAGTTTATTGGTACATTTTAGGTATACAGTACAGTTACATTCATCATTGGGATCTTGTACCTTTACATGACAGGTCTTGGCTCTCATTTTTTCCCCTTGTCCCTGCCCTCCCTTCACCCCCTCCTCCCCTCCCCACCTTCAAACACTTTAATTCCATTTTTACATTTTCTCATATTTTTTTCCTCTCCCTTATTTCCTTTCCCCTACCATTCCCATTTCCCCTACACCTTTAGCTCTTTTCTTCCTATTTCACACTATTATCCCATTAGGATCTTATGTACCATTATAGTTTTTCACACCAGAGAAACTATTCAGTATTTATACATGTGTGACTTAATTTATTTCACTTAGTATATTCTCAATATGTATCCATTTTCCTATGAATGACTCTAATTTCTCATTCTTTATGGCTGAGTAGTATTCCATTTTATAAAAAAACCACATCTTCTCTATCCAGTTTCCAACTGATGGGCAAATGGACTGTTTCCAAGTTTTAGCTATTACACACTGTGCCTCCATAAACATAGGTGCGCATATATCACTGTGGCATGATTCTTTTAATTCTTTTGGAAAGATACCCAACAGAGGGATGGCTGGGTCAAATGGAACCTCCAATCCCAGCTCTCTGAGGTATCTCCATATTGATTTTCACAGTGGTTGCACCAGTCTGCACTCCCACCAACAATGGAGAAGGGTTCCTTTCTCCCCACAACCCCACCCACATTTGTTATTGGTTGAGTTCTTGATAGCCATTCTTTGTGGGGTGAGGTGGAATCTCAGTGTTGTTTTCATCTGCATCTCTCGAATGATAAGTGATGTGGAACATTTTTTCATGTCTTTACTTGCTGCTTTTACTTCTTTGTCTGAGAAATGTCTGTTCATTTCAGAAGTCCATTTTTTAATCGTGTCTTTATATTTGGGCAGGCTGGTTTTTTTTGAGTTCTTATATATTCTAGATAATAGTCCTTTGTCTGAGGAACAGCTGGTAAAAACTTTTTCCCACATTGTAGGTTGTCTTTTAGTTCTGTTGTAATATTTTTGTATAAAAGATTTTTTAACTTACATATTTTCCAGCATCTAGCACAATGAAAGACATAATTCAAAATCTTTCCCTTAATAGTTCTTTCTTAAATGAAGTGTTCATTCCTAATAATCCCAACATGGGTTGGTTTATATTTCTGTGAATTTAGTTAACTAGTAGTGTATATTAATGTTAAGTCTAATTTAGTTCATCTTCTCCAAAAGATTACAAGCATTTCTAGAACCACGACTCTCTGAGTTTGCCAATTCACATAGACTCTAAAACTACTTTACGCATGATAATAATAATTAACACTTACTGGTGCTCATATATAAGGGAAAGAAGATGAAAGCCCTTACCTGCAAGCACGGAATCATGCCACAACACAGGCGAAGTATCTCTTGTTCCAGCATTGATGGTTGTGCAGTATCACAGAGACCCCAAGGTTGAAGCAGAACTTTCAGAAGGGGCAGTCGAAGGTTAGCATATTCTTGTAATTGAAAGGGTTCACAATAAAGATACCAAAGAAATGGTGCCATTATTTGCACATATGAAACTTCGGACCTGCAAAAGTCATGTGATGCTTTTAGCCAGTTACTGAGTCAAGCACAGAATCAAACAGACAAGTGACAAATACCAAATTCTAGTTCATGACATATCACAAATTACTGTACTATCAAGTATCACAACGTTTGATTCTGCTATATCTGCTAATCCCCTAACTAGATCTGTACCAAATAATTCTTTGTGCACTGGGGGAGATGATCCAATACTGGCAGACCATAAGCTAGATGCCAAGGACTGAGAGTCACTTTTTGCACACTAAAAGAGCACCTTCAGTTACCAGGGAGAACATCTTTAGAGTTATAGATGTCAGGATCTACTTACTCTCCAGGAGTATGACACTTGCATGAATTTCTGGGAAAACTCTAGGGGTAAGAATCTTTGTGTAACAAACCCATAAAATGATCCTAATATAATTGTGGTACTGTTAACATTTATAGTATGCCCCACTTTCAGGATTTTGCTTTTCACAGTTTCAGTTGCCCCTCACTCACAGCACAGAAATATTGAGTGGAAAATTCCTGAAATAATCTGTAAGTTGTAAATATACACCTAAGTAGCACGATGAAATTTCACAGTTCTACTCTGTTCCTCTCAAGACATGAATCATCCCTTTGTCTAGGGCATCTATGATGTATATGATACACTAATCACTTAGCAGCCACCTCAGTTATCATATAAATTGTCACAGAATTGACAATGCCTGTTTTGCTTAATTATGACACCAAAACACAAGAGCAGAGATGCTGGCAATTAGTACATGCCACAGAGAAGCTGTAAGAGCCTCCAGTAAGTGGACCGGTGAGATTGTTAAGATCTGTGGTAAATTATTTAATTTTTTCTTTTACATTAAAGAGAGAGTGTCCATTTTGTTGCCCAGGTGGCTCTGAACTGGGCTCCACGATCTTTTTGCCTGTGCCTCCCCAGTAGCTGGGACTCCAGGTGTGCCCCTGTGTCTGACTCTGCTGTTAGTCACTTACTGTGCACTAATCTGTGAAGTAAATGTATGTTCCCCTCAAGCATTCCTGTGTTCAGAGCTGGGTTCTCAGCTCCTTGATGTAAAGGTAATGGAGTCTTCCAAAGTGGAGTCTAGTGGGAGGCACGGAGGTCACTGTAGGCGCTGCCCAGAGAAGAGACTGTGGTGCTTCTCATGGGAGCCCGGAGGTAATTCTATCAAAACCAAGGAGTTATACAAGCCAAACCTCTCCTCACTCACTGCAGAACAACGTGGTCTTTTGCTTCCTCAAGCACTTGCACTTCCACCACCACAGCACCCACCACACAGCCTTCACCAGAGCCAAACAGAACCAGCGCCGTACCCATGAACCTTCAGAACCATGAGCTAAATCAGCCTCTTTTCTCTTTAAAGTTACCCAGCCTGATATTTTGGTATAATAATAAAAACTGACTAAAACTGACAAATACACATCTATGGGCATCAGTATCACCTGTGCTTTTAAGCCCCCACTAGAGGTCTCCGATTATTGTCTCTACGTGGAAATGGAGGGGCTACTGTACTTGCTAACTTGTTAATCTTTACAATGTGCAAATTATTATACTTTAAGTCTGTATACTCATTTGATCATTACTGCAACCCTATGAAATAAAAAGTATTATTATCTCCATTGCATAGATACAGAAACTGAGGAAGAGTTAGGTGAAGTTAATTTTGCCAAGGCTCTCCTCTGAAGCATTTCCACTCAAAGGAGCAAGATTCTACACATCCATGAGTCTTCTTTACATATATTTCATGTCAATTTAGATTTCATTGTATTCTACTAACTTCTTGTCCAAAGCCAATAAAATGTCACAATGACCTTCAAAAATAAGTCTGATCACGTCATTAACCAGCTTAAAATAATTGGCTCTTAAGACAAATATTTATCACAATTCACAAATCCTGATAACCTCTGCTTATCTTTATTCTCATTTCTTGCACTTCTTCTCTCCCCACTGAACTTATCAAACCTTCATGTCTTTAATGAAGCCATCTCAACTTCATCATTGCTACTCCTTCTATCTGTAATACTGCTTTCCTTCCTATTCCTCTTCTCACTCCCTGCCTCATTTCTATCACCCTTTAGTCTTCTGCTTTGCAATGGCAGCCTGACACCCTTTTCTGACACGTGGTCTTGGCCAGGTCCCTGTTATGTGCTTCCACTGCACATGACTTTGTGCCTTTCCATATTTAATATCCATAAGCCAAATGAGGCAGGGCCATAAACCTCCATGTACTGTGCATCACCAGTAACACCACACACTAGGCCTTCAAAGAGATGTGCAGTCAATTCATTAAATCAGTTGCTCTCAATTACATGCATCAATTAAATGCAAAATTTTTATTTTAATATTTTCCATATTTACAGTATTTAAATTAAGGTAAAACACAAGATCAAAGCAGGCATTACCTATTCTTAAGCATACAGTGTAACAGGTAAAATCAGTTCTGTTCTTGAACTAGCGGATAGGAAGTTAAAGCTGCCAAAAGAATGGAATGAAAGGCAACCATTTTTTTGTGGTAGAAATGGCATTTGAATTATGCCCGACCACATAACTGTATAGTAGCACACATTCCACAGCAATGTGACTTCAAAACACCATTCATAAAAATTTAGAAATTACCAGAGAGCACGCGCACACACATACAACCAAACCAGTAAGACTTAATTTTATTCATTCATTCATTTGGCAAAATTTATGAACACCAACCAATCATTCATCTATGTGCTAAAAAATGCAAAAAACAAAAAGATTCATTTTCAGCTCTTAGCATTCACAATCTGAAGGATATTATTATAAACACAAATGTACAATCTATAAAAATCAAATGGACATTTGAGTTCATAATTATTATTGAAACATTTGAAACATTTATTACATCATATACTATTTGTTTGTTGGTTGGTTTGAGACAGGGTCTCACTATGTAGTTCATTCTTAAAATGAACTCATTATATAGCCCAGGCTGGCCTCAAACTTGGAGCAGTCCTCCTGCCTCAGCCTCCTGAGTGCTGGGATTTCAAGTGTGTGCCACAACGCTCAGCTTACCACATCATACACTTTAAAAATCAAAACGATCTTCACAGTTACAGGAATCAGATGATGTATGTATTAGCTGGAATATGAAACAAGAGTTTCCAGAAAAGAGATTTAAGAAACAGTGCTTTCTCATGTCTAATAATGTTTCCCTAAAAAATAAAGACTACCCACTGTCAATAACATCTATGGACAGATTACTGTTTTTCTTCTATTTTGAGATGTTGAAGGTAAAATTCAAGGTTAGTTCATATAGAGATATATATTTCCAAAGTGTTGGTATGATTTTACCATAGAAGCACATTACTGTGCTTCTTTAAGAACAATATACTATTTAAAATCTCTTTGGATTAACCCGTCTTGATTTTATATTCTGCATTTCCATAGTATCTGATGATTAACTATCACTTCAGTAAAGTATGAAACTGCCAGAACTTAGATAGAAAAAGGAAAATAATATTTGACCCAGCCTTCCCTCTGCTGGTTATCTTTCCAAAAGAATTAAAAGAATCATACCACAGTGATATATGTGCACCCATGTTTATAGCGGCACAGTTTGAAATAGCTAAAACTTGGAAACAGCCCATCTGCCCATCAGTTGGAAACTGGATAAAGAAGATGTGGTTTTTCTATAAAATGGAATACTACTCAGCCATAAAGAATGAGAAAGTAATTTATTCATAGGTAAATGGGTACATTTTTAGGATATACTCCTAAGTGAAATAAATAAGTCACTCATATGCAAATATCGAATAGTTTCTCTGGTGTGAAAAACTAAAACAGTACTCAAGATCCTAAAGGGACAATTAGCAATGTGAAATAGGAAGAAAAGGACCAAAGGTGTAGGGACAGTGAGAAGCATAGGGAAAGGGGAATAAGGGAAAAGGAAAAAAATATGAGAAAATGTAAAAATGGAATTAAAAGTGTTTGAAGGTGGGGAGGAGAGGAGGGGGTGAAGGGAGGGTGGCGAACAAGGGAAAAAATGAGAACCAAGACCTGTCATGTAAAGGTGCACGATCCCAGTAATGAATGTAACGGTACTGTATACCTAGAATGTACCAATAAATTCAATTTAAAATAAAAAAGGAAAAAAATAAAAGATGATCTGAAATCTTAAAGCTGTTAAGAACGTTTAAAATATGAACAATTGGCAGCACATGGTGGTGCACATCTGTAATCCCAACCCCCAGGAGACTGCGGCAGGAAGATCACAGGGTGGAGGCCAGCCTGGACTACATAGTGAGTTCAAGACCAACCTGGCACACCAAGCAAGACCCTGTCTCAAACAGAACCAAAAACTGAAGAAGTAAATTAAACATGAACAACTGTCATGGATCTACATACAAGTCCTTTATGTTTATATTCATCACTAAGAGAGACACATAGAAAAGACCTAGAATAAGAAACAACAGACACTTCAGACCCAACTCTACCATGTACCACCTTTCAACAAGTCACTTAATACTGCTCTCCCTAGTTTTTTTACCTGAAAACTAATCTTAGACTAGATAACCTCAAACTATCCAGGCTAGAAGTCCACAGTATCATTGTCAATTTACTTAATACTCAGTTCTTTAAAGGTACAAGTAAAACCTTAACATAGGCCTTCAATAAATGAACGCAGAATTTAATTATAAAAAACCCCCTCCCCAATCTAGCACCAGGACACTCTGAAACCTTGGAACATTTGGCACTATTAAAAATGCACATACGGGCCTGGGATTTAGCTCAGGGGTGCCGCCGCCTGCCACACAAGCACAAGGACCCAAGTTTGATCACTGGTACCAAAAAATAAATAAATAAAAATGCACATAGCCAGACATGGCAGTGCACACTGGTAATATTAGCACTTCGGGAAGCTGAGGCACAGCATCATTAGTTCAAGCCTAGCCTGGGTACCTTAGCAACTTAATAAGACCCTGTCTCAAAATAAAAAACATTCAGAGGCTTAGAGATCTAACTGA